GCGGCTTAATTACTATTTTGTGTATTATTTCTATATTGGCAACGATTTATAGAAATAAAAGAACTTCTACTGATGGTGAGAAAGAGCACAGCTTGAAGAATTTTAATTGAAATACATGTATCATGGATCACAACTATATAGTTAATAATGTACATCAAGGGACGGCATCAACTCGTAGACAAATTCAGTAACGATGGCGACGTTCTCACTGGTCATTTTGAAGTGGCACCAGGCCAATGGCAGTACGCGCGTAATGTGGGAGACACCGTTACAAAACCCACCACTAATTCAATAAGGGGCCATCAGGAATGTCCAGTGACACGTCACAAGATCGCCTAAAATTAGCCCCCCCCCGAAGGCTTTTTTTTTTTACAAAGAATACTTAATAGGTGACTAGGAAAGAAAGTAATTGGCACAGCACCAAAACAATCCCAGCAAATAAGGACTAGGATGTCGGGACCGTAAGGCTTTTTTTTCTTTCTCCCCCAACATCATGTTGAATGAGTCCGAAACCACTTTCGGTTTTGAACCCCCCCCCACACCAAAAGCTGGATACGCCGCTGTGACTGATTCATACTGGGATAGGCCTTATACTTCTGTTCTAACAAGCACAGCTCATGTAAGCTGGAGGTCTGATAACCACCCCAGTTAAATATGTAAACAAAAATTTGATTTGTACTCACCGACACCAAGCTTTCCGGCACTCAAATAACTATAATTTATTAGCTATTTTATTTATTCGCCATTAATGCTTTCTACAGATAGAATAATGCAGACGTTGAGTATAGATAAAAAGGTACTCACCCGCTACAGCCAAAAGAAAAAGTCCCCAAACGCCTAAGCCAGCCATAGCGATCTTGCTCCAAGTTCGAGAAATCCACGACGAAGGCTTGGTGTGACCGCGCGAGAGGATTGTCGAGCAGTATAGGCCTATATATAGCAGTGTTCTCGTTATCAAAATCGGCACAGACGCGTGGCCGTCCGATTCCAAAAGTACAAACCCAAACTCGAAAGTGCATGTAGATGTCCAATCAACAAAGTGTGCAAATAGTTTGTTACACGTTGAAAGATACGACTGGTTTCCACTGTTGTTGCCAAGCTCACTTCCCCCTTGTTTATACCTTTTTAAAAACATTGACGAACTACTCTTTTATCCAAATTAAGTGTACCCACATACATTTTTCAAATTTCCCTCAAGTGCAGTGGCAAATTGTAATCGAAAGATCACTCTTCAAGCCCTAAAATAAAAAAGAACACAGGGGAAAATATCCAAATTCTTACTTCTTTGAAACAATCACGTGATGAAAGAGTACTTTATACTCCCGGTCTGATGGAGTTTTTATTTCCAGTACTCTCTCTTAAAGTAAAAATGCAAGTGATTTCTCCCAGTGATACAAGACTGTATAAAGGAGGTTTTGTCTGTTTTAATGTTTATTTTGCTCAGTCACCAAATTTGGGCCCCACCTTTTGAAACGATTTTCCTTCGGTTTCCCTTGAATTTTAACTCCTATTCGTGAAGGTGGCCACGTGAATTATGTAACTTCATGTTTAATGTATTCAGTGTAGAAATAATTATTATAGACCACCAAAACGCTGCCAAATTAATTTTGGTCTTCTGACCAACATGCCAACGGATCATGGTCCGTTTATCCTTTTGTTCGTTTGTTTGCTTGCTTCAACAATTGCTTGCTTGTTTTTGGGCCTTTTCTGTGTGTTATTCGCCGTACCATGCACCTGTAACTTGGCAAAGGGAGAATCTAGGTTAATACCGGTCAAAGTTACTTTTCCTTCTTCTCCTCCTACTTCTCAAACAAATTAAATCGATAGTTCACTTGCAAGGCAACGATAATTACGCGTAATTTTGTTTACTTGACAGCTAATTGCTATGACACACACCTCGTCGTGCCAGGGCAACGTGCAATAATATGTTCCAAGGAACCAGTATCTAGTGTTAGGAAGCGTATTGAGAGCACTTAGTACCATGTTGTGCCACAATTCCATGCGCTGGTATCATGTTTGTGTGTTCATCTCTGATGGGAGCCCTGTTCAATTGCTGTCCCGGCAGATAAGACCAGATCATACAATGGCAGACAGGTGTTATTATATTTGACTGCATAGTAATTAGGTAATACACAAATGAGGGTCTGGTGGGGGAAAAAGTTGTTTGCGGATAAAGTACATTTTTAGACGTGTGTACAAACTCAATGAGTATCACCAGACACGTCGGTTGGGTTTTCAGACTCCCTTGCGTTAATTAGAGTTCCTCATACTGTTGGACGTACCCACGTACGGAAGCGTATTGCTGCCAAAGCAAAAAAAAAATGTCGTTTAAAAGACTGATTATAGTTTAAACGACTTATTATCTGGTTTAAACCAATTATCATCTCGTTTAAACGACTTATAATCTCGTTGAAACGACATAGTTATTTAAACGAAATACATGTAGATATCTCGTGTAAACGAGATAACTATGTCTTTTGAACGAGATAAAATAGTTTTTTCGAGTTGCCAGCAATATGCTTTTGTATCCGCGTACCCTCCAGTCCTCAAATCCATGATGCAGTATTTGTCTCAAACCTAATTCCAATGTGTTCAAGTTTCTTCTCTCTTCCTAAATTTTATCATCTGTTTTCTAGGTGCATTCCTAGCATAGGTGCAATGTTAACACGCCTCCGTTCACACTTTCGCTTTGCTGACATATCTATCTCTCATCCTCTAGCCCTAACTTTTAAGGTCCTTTCGCATCTTGTCACGATTTGTAATTTAAAAAATAGCACAAGTTTCCAACGCTGACAAGAGCATAGTTGTTGGATGTCTTAATTCCTAACCGGAAAAAAATTTTAAAAGAATTAAAAGCCAAAAGTATTAAGCTTTAAGTGATGGTTTGGCAGATTTTGATTAAATCCGACAGAATTCTGAAATGAGTGTTGCAATTTTCATTTGGCCATCTTGGTAGATGGGGAAAATGGAGTATCGAGTAAGCTAGGCACTTATTCATGATGTGTAAACCATGAACAATTCTTCTACTGACCAGACTCGGTAATTTTTTTCCGAATAAAATCATGGAGAATGAAAGAACTGTGAACAAAGTCCTAGGCCGTTTTCCACTACTCACCTTCGTCTCCGTCTCACGCTTCGTTCCCAAAACCAATCCCCGATTGTGGGCCTGAAGCGTTTAAATTTAAATTGGACTACTGTAATTTGTGACTTTCTTGCATCTTATTTGATGTTCTGTGGCACTATTAGACTGACTACTGCGCTTACAGCTTCAAAGTCAGCTAGTAAAAAAATAATTGAAGCCTGAGACGGAGCCAAAGTTGAGTATTGGAAAACGGCCCCAGTACAGGACATACATTACTCGTATACGTTTAGCAGAATTTCAAAGTGGAGGTTTCTCCAATATCGGCGTTTACAACTTAAATGCACCTCCACGAGTTTGTGCAACGCATTGGCCAAGCACGATGAGGAAATCTGTCGACCCAATGCGCATTTGGAAATGGACGACAAATTTCGTGCGTTGTGATTGGCCAATGCGTTGCAAACTCTTGGAAGCGCACTATTGTTAATCGCCCGTATTGAACTTGTTCACGCGCATCTGTGAAAAGAAATATTTTAAAGGGGAAGGGGAGCCCACTACCAGACTACTGCAGAATCTATGAACAAAAAATAATCCCTTCGGATTCAGCGTACTTTGAAAATGCACTTTATTTTCAGACTGAGGTCCACAATAAGGAATACAGTAAGTACACTTGCTATTCCGTATACACACAATGTACAAACCAAATTACACATGCATAAAAAAGTTGGTGAGAATTCCTGGTACTAAAATTGATGGTCCAAGCTCGCGGTAATGAATCTGCAAACCTTACTCTGTAACAGTGTAAGCCTGGCACCCTGTGTTCTGTAGAGTGTTTGATTCAGAGATTTGGCGACGGCTGCCAACCGCTGCACCTGAGTGGTTTGGTTACTAGGGCCAAAGGTCATTAACTTCTATGTGGAAATATAACTTCAGCCAATTCATTGTCCAAAACAGGCATCGGTGGAGTACCAGTTAGAGGCCATGTACACCACATACCCTTTAAAATGGTGCTCTGTATCAAAGATCGTACAGCACCGAAGGCGCAAGATGGATAACTCTGCCCCCAAAATGTAATTACCATAGGCGCCATTTGAGCAAGCGATACGCCTGCGCAGTTTAGGGTAAAGCTTGGGCGCAGGCTCACCAGGTGCACATGCCTGCCGCAGCGCCTGTGCATTAATGTGCATTCCGCAGGCGTATCGCTTGCTCAAATGGCACCTATGCAATTACAACATTTTACGTGTATTCACGGTGTTTGTGCTTAATTTGCCGCACCATACGGCTGTCCCACCAGGGCCAAGTGCAGTTATTTGCAAAAGTTTAGGACCACTCATGCAAAATGCATTAACCCGAAGAAAAGCCAAACTTAAACCAATCAATCATGGCAACTTATGTTTATTTTCAATGTGTAACCTTGGTACCTTGGTTAAACAGCTACATGTGTATTTGACTACATTTCCATGATTTGAAATGGTAACAGTCGAATACTTAGAGTGCCCTCCTTTATTTCTGACAACTTAGATTGGCTTTTTTTTACCCATGCTGCCTTACAGACAAAATGTCATACAAGACCTGCCTTTGAAAAAAATTTCGTTCAAATGGGTATAATCACTACATTGATGTTATGCATCACTGTAAAAACTTGTTAAGTAATCATTCAATGAGACAATGTAATGCAGGCCCAGTGACAGAAATACCAATAAAATTCAAGGTGGTCTTAAACTTTTGCAAATGACTGTAGTGTCATGGTGATGACTTGCAGAAAGTGACTGTGAGCAAATTTTGGCGTATATTCAGAAGTCACCAAGCAGATCATGACCTGGTCAATATACAGGGGAATTCGCCATTAGCAGTTGCCCAAGATGATAATTAACTCCTTACATTGGCCCAATTGCTGAAAAAAACCACAAGGTTTTCTGTCTCCAAATGTCAGAAGATTTCTGAAGTGAACAGTGCCTCGACAATTTTGTGACATGCCCCCAACTGAAGTCGGCAGTCTTCATGCATGTATTACTTTTGCACATGCATTTCAAGAACACAAAAATCCCAAATTCTATATTTTACATTATGTACAATCAAAACAGTACAGCAGGTATCGCCAACTACACATAATCAAGTAATTCTATAATAAAATATGGAACAGGCAAAACGAGTGAAACAGATGGAATCATTGCCTGCCTGCTGAAAGAAATAAAATTACATGTTTAACTGACATGTACACCTGCCAGGCAAACTACACCACAGACATAATTATGCAAAGTGAGCACAAACGTACATCTCTGTGCTGCAGCTCAAAAAATTCCTCAGTATAGCAAGACAGCCAAACTGTTCAGAAAATGCCTATGCCTAACACAAATAACTAGCTACCCAAACAGGTAACACACATCCAAGAATTTTGGTTATCAGCTAAAGCACTGATTTCTGCGCTCACCGATTGATGTATTCCTTGTTTTCATTTTTGGCAGATCTGTGAACCTGACCCAGTTTTTACTCTACAGGTACATATTGTGAGAAAGCCTCCCGTAGGCATGGCGATAACAGAATACCATCAGCAAATGTGGTGCTGAACACAGTGAAATTGCATGTCACAGCCTACTGTAGCTGTCTGGAGCATATAGGCTGTTCCCAAAAGCCAAAAAAAATCAACCTCGGTGGCACAGAATACCCCAATTTGAACTTCAGATCTGGTTGGTAATTCTACCGACCACTGGCAGGGGCTTGGGCTCCTGAGCAAGACTGTTTATCACAACTAAACATTCACAAGTTCAAAGGAGGAAATTACAATTTATGCAAGCCTTGCTTATCCCCTAACCTTTAATGCCATGCCCGAGAAGCAATAAAACAAGAAAATCATGAACACGTCCCAGGGAAGCTTGTACATGATGACTATGATCTTTGTTGCTCTGACCATCTGGGTGTCAGTAGCGTCTGAAATGTGAGATTTAACCAAAGTAAACTCCCCCTAAACTGCAGGACAGGGCTGTATGCACCCTGACAAGCCTGGGTGGAATGTTTGTGGGTCTGAAAAGCATGGGTATTAATGTACTACCCTGGCTGAGCAAAGTGTTGTATATGTGCAGGATTAATAAAAATGTATCAATTCCAGAACGAGGAGGGCAGTGTATGGTCAACGGTTCATTTGCATAAGTAGTCCCAAAATATCAAAGTTCAATCTTTTTTTTCCCCAAAGATTCGTTCACTAATTTCTTGCAAGAGCTGCCAAAGTCCATGACCTTAGAACTCCAACAGTTCAGGGTCTTCAACTATTACTGAAAGTCCCAGAAATCACGTCAATTTAAAATCAGGTTTCTATTTGAAAAATGCACAACAGAACACTCTAAAGAATATGCAGTTCACAAACACTTTGTTCAATACACTGAGGTACAATCCTGCCCAGCAAACTCTTGACTAAATACATGTGATGTAAATGAGTGATTTGTGTTGCATGTTCACCAAAATCAAATCTAAATTCATCAGTACAGTAAACTCCTTGAGAACATGGGGAAACGAATAATTCCTGATTCAATTAATTCATGCCTTATGTCAAATACTTCAGAAATTGGAATACAAACAACTCATGATTTAACTTGCACTTCTAAATGCTATGTGTATCTTTGATTGCTTTGTAAAAAAACCCATGAATATCATGAACATTGGGCTTTACTCAAATTTACAACAATGGTGTAAAAACTGAATAAACTCAAGGCAAGCAAAATGTAGCATGAGAGCAAAGCAGCAAAGCAACTAAACCCAAAAAAAGCACCTGTGTGGAAAAACGAAAAAAAGAAAAAGAAAATGACGTTAGTCTGCAGTCCTCACCAAAGTCCTCACCAATGCTAACAACTGTCGACCCCCAAGTATTTTTCCAACAGAACCCATTTACATCTTCCCAAATCTTCCTCTGGGTAGGACAGCAGTTAAGCCGTAATTGCGGACTTTCAAGGTAAACAAGCCTTCTAATGGCTAGGCTGCAGGAGAATTTTTTGTGCTCCTGTAAAAGTCCACTATAAAACTCTGGTGGATTGTAAAGGCATTGGAGGGATTAGCATTAAGATATGAGGGGTTTTGAGGTTCAGAACAAATAGCAAAGAAGTGTTAGTCCCGCTTGTATTTTCTGTTAACTATAACATGTAGATTGCATATAACAAAGTTGTATGAAGTAACACATGATTCCGCAGAAGTCTTCAAGAGATGATGTTCAGATATTTCTGTTCTTGTTTTTTTATACAGCCTAACACAAGCTCAGAGCCACAGAAACTCAGTGAGGACTCGTGTGATTGTTTGAAAGAAGAAAGAAGTGGGACAATACAATCTCCACGTGACTCTGACAGGCTCTGGATGTATCTCCAGGGCGCTGGCTTATACTTCCATGGACCTATCCTGAATTAACTTGCACGGAATAGAAAGTGTGGTGTCACTTTGCGCTTAATACGAAACAAATTGCTGCTGAAAACTGAAGTGACCTGAATACACAGAGATGAAAATGTGGAGGGCGGGGCTGGTGTTTCAATCCTAGCAAGATCTTTCATTTTCCACCTATCAGAGAGATTCTGCTGGGAGTGGGTCTTTGAATTTCAATTACATGTACGTCCAACACAATCAGCACTTTTCTTCAAGTACAATGCATATTCTAAGCAGCTAACTGGATTTTGACACCACTTAGTTTTGTTACATTTCCGGTAACATTCAGATCTGAAAATTCCAAACCCCACGAAGAAAGGGCATATCATCAAACAGAACATGTTTGAAGAGCTACAAAACTGAAAATAAAAATTATACTTGGAATGTAAAACACAGCAAGAGAAAACACAATACAAAATGTATCGTACATGTACAAGTGTACAAAATATTAGGCTGAAAAAATTAGGCTTCTTTGGAAAACTTTCTCTCCAAAGATTTTGTTGACAAGGAGACTGATTCAAAACAAATTACATTCTGTGGACGTTTGAATTAACTGATCTAATGTACAGCCAGACACAACACGAAAATGCGAGTGGCTGACAAGTTCTCTAAAACTTTACCAAAGAAAGAAAAGCACTCCTATAAAGAACATTCTGTACAGTTTCTGTCCTTGTCTGTTCACCTTAATTTACATAATGTACAAGTTGTCACTGAGGTATCCACAAAGCTTGAATGATGTGTTAGTGGATGTAACAGTGGATGTTAGTGGATGCGATAACAAGAACAATGAATGACGATAAAGGATTCGTCTTAACCCTATTGCTGTGTAAGGTGCTTCAGTGAAAGCCAAATGGACCTTCTCTTCTCCAACAAGACTTGGCACTTTGTGGGGGTAATGATCATTACGGTCCATCCTTATGTCTATAATACTCCATGCAGCAGAATCACTGATCACTTGTCACAAATGATTGCACTGACTAGAGTCAAGTGCTACTTGAGCGTCATCCCGGGTAAATAGGTAACAGATTTGCAAGATTACGACAACACAAGAATGTGGAGAGTTGTGCGTGTAGTGTGTAGTGATTCATCTAAAGGGGAGAACGCTGATTACTGAAAAAATATGAAGCTTGGATTAGAAATAAATGAAAGTTTATTCCATACACAGGGTAAAAACAGTCAACAAATGTTTAATACTCAGTGGGGTTGGAGTTCCAACTTGTATGGAAAGACGTGGTAAAAGCTATGAAACATTGAAACAGAGTGGTTTCCCGGATGCAAGATTTTCCCTGAACCATACTGTGATCCGTAGGAATGGACCTTCAGGAAATGGCCACGGTGCTCACCATTTTGGCAATCTTCTCGTCCCCCCGCAGGAGGTTGGATTTGATGGTTGCTATGGTGTCCAGCTGATCCTGGATCCCTTGGTCCAGCTCCGTCAGCTGGGCCTTCAAGGGTTCTAGTTCCGAGTCTGTGATGCTGCGAGTTAAGAAAAAAAGAGATCTTGAGTGTCCCAACACCAATCTTTTAGATACTTGGCCTCCATGTCACGACATCATTTTGAGCACATCTCCAAAGTTCCAGGTCACTCCGATACAGGATTTTTTTGGTGTCACTTATAGTTAATGCTACCAAATGTGTTGGCCCGAGTGCACTGAGCGCATGACATTGGAACAAGTTTCCATTTTTGGTAATCCTTTCTTAGAAAAATGAGCCTTTCATAAGAACAGTATGACCGATTTACACAAAATTGGTGTCAAAATGACAACAACTCATCAATGGAAGAATCACTAAAGGCATGGCACATTAAAATAAAGGCACTGCAGTGATACTGGAGAAAATGTACAAGGAAAACAGATTCAGCCCCTAAATCTTTTAAGGTTACAATGCAGAAGCATGTATTCCTCTTTTTGCTGACAATTTAATTTTCAAAAATAAACCCTCGTCAGCATAATTACATGATTATATATACACATGTAATTCATGTTCTGCCAAGAAGCGTATAATTGAGACTAAGGTGTTTTAGAAATCTGGACGCTTATTATAAATAGAGCATCAGTCTACATGTACACCAAACCCTACATTTTGGTGGGTTAAAGACTGCCCTCAAGTTGTTAACAGCAACTGACACTCAGTGGTACTTGAGCATGCTCAATGACTACAGAATGTACAGTACTATGTAGTTTTGATTTCCACAAACTAATACTCATGCACTGTGCACTTGTTACATTTTTACCGACAATTGACTTCCCCTCCCTCATTTTTTGAAATTTTTTTTCCTTATATCCAACAGGTAAATGGAGTGAATTAGGGTCAAGCCTTTCAAACTATTCTCTTCCGGATGGCACTTCTGCTACATATTGGATGTCAGTTTGTGAAAGGCCAAAATCTATTAGGTGTTGGTGTACAAAGTGCATGGGTCAGAGCCAGGGGAGAAGGGGGCAACTGGAGCCACGTCCCCCCAACAATTTCTTTGGGGGGCAAATAAGAAGAGAAAGGGGGTCTTTTTTTTCATGCTACTTAGTGTTCCTTCCAAAGGTGTGTACAAAGCCCTACAATGTAGCCCCATCCTCAGAAAGGGCCATGATGTAAAATGTTCAAATGTAGTTGCACCCCGGCCTGCCCAAAAACCCTTTTCTCTCTCCTTCCCCACTCCAAAAGCGGGGCTCCGGATCTGCCCTTGACAAAACACGTGCAAACACACTGCGAGTGAAACCAAAAAACATTATTTTCGCAGTTTTCTGAAGAGTCAGCACATCCAGGTTGCATTCCAGATTATGGAAAAAAAAAAAACAACAGTGATGACTTTGCGACTCGGTGACACCCACCCTTGCTCGCGCTTGATGGCCAGCTGGTGCTCTTGGTTCTCCTTCCGCCACATCTCCAGCTCCTTCTGCATGCTGTCCACGTCTTCCTGCAGGTAGTCCATGATCTTGCCCAGCGGGTTGGCGCTGCGTGTCAGCGACTGGATGGCCGCCGTCAGCTTCTCCACCTCCCGCTGCACCCGCTCCCGCTCCTTGCGCCGGGCCGCGTCCATGACGATGGGCTTCTCCTGCATGGCAAGCGAAGAGAGAATCCGTGAAACTGGGGAAGGAGCATCAATGGACACGGGGCAGTTAAACATAAACACCTCCATCAGGAAATCTAGAAATGAATGTCAGTGTCACAAACAAAGAGGCAGAGCTTGACACACAAGAGGGGTAGCCTATACTCCTCTGCTTTCAAGTTATGGGAAAATCACAGAAACAATGAGGTTTGATATTCACCACTAAACAAGACTAAACAAATCCTTCTACCAGGCCATTTAGAAATGAGATAGAATCTGGAACAAAGAGGGGCGGAACTGAAACAGATGTGGAAGGATTAGTATAATCCTGAGCTAAATATAGGGAGAGCAGCGACTCACATCTTTTTTATCTCCTGCCCTGGTACCTTCCAGTTCCTTCTTGGTTTCTAGAATCTTCTTGACGAGTCCTCCGTGCTCTCCATCATCTTCCAAGGACTCGCTGCCCAGCACCTACAAGTAAAAGCAGCCGCCCATGAGCAAATTTGGTATTTTAACGGTGCACACTCAAAATTGAAGCACATCATAGGTCATTTGAGAACATCAGTCCGTGGGCATGGTTAGCCCTACCAGTGCAGCCAGACGCCAACTCACACGTACTGAACATGTTTAAGCTGGCATGTGTCATGTGCTTTGCTCTCAAATGACTGGCCTACAGCCTTACTTGACAACCCATGGATCAGTCTACAGAGAATGTGTCACACACCTGAGGCTCCTCGTGGACAACTGGATGTGTCTCCTCCACAACAAACGTGTCATCTTCATCTTCAGAATTCTGGTCATTATCGACAATGACACTAGTGACTTGCTTTCCACTGCCAATTCTGAAAGTGAAAGTTCATTCTGTGATTCTGAAATGCTTACAATTTTACGAAGTTTAATAGCCTTTCCACACAAAACTGGCCAATTAACCAAATACACTTACATGTGAGACCACCAAAACTGTAGAACCATCAATGGTCTGCCAACTTATTTTCTTTTGACAGGGGCGGGGAGGGATTACAGTTTGGTGGGTGGATAAATCCACATAGGAGAACTGTTGCACAAGTTGGCATCACTGTGCAAGTTTGAATATGTAAGGTCCCAAAACACATGCAGTCAAAGGATGAAAACAGACCGGAGACCAATGAAGTATTAAAGTGAGATAAGTGGCAAGTCTAGGGACTACCTCATTGCAGGGTCCTCAGCTAATTCTTGCTTCTTGACTCTTGGTGGTGCTGGTCTCGCACTGCTTGGTCGGGCCATCCTGCGACTGAAAAGAATAAAATGTGGACAACTGCTTGAAAAGTGATACTACGTAGACAAAAAGAAGCGACTGCTGATCATATCTACATGATGGGTAATGATGGGCTGCATCAGCCTAGGATCACATCTACAATTGTCATCAGTTGCTATCTACCATCAGTCGGTGCTCAAGTCTTGAGAACTTTGTAGTTTTTAAGATAACAGAACTGGAAACTAGGCTGTCTGATCACAACAGTTCCTGGACATGTGCACCTTCTAGTTAAGCAGTGGTTTTGATGATCCAGATCCAAACATCAAGTGTACAGTGTGGTGTATGAGCATTTTCAAGTTACAGGTTTTATTAACACCACTATCAACCCTTCTCAGGTGTAGAGCTAGACTATCTGCTCCGAGCAGGAACAAGACATGGCACCATTTTGCTTGGCAAGACTGTCCTTTTACATGAACTTACTTTGTGGACGCGCAAGATCATGCACATTTGAGGTGAATGATTTCTGTTAAAATGTATGGTCTTCGCGTGTGCGGCTTGCATTGAAATATATTTTTACACAGCACTCAAGGCTTGATAACGACAGGAATCACAAAATATTTTTCTTGCAGTTGGATCCCGGGAACTGCCGAATCTTCAGACAAAAGATCCCCCTTCCCGGGGTCTGAAAAATCCTGGCTTTCTTAGGGTTAACGTCACTCCAGGCTAAAGCCACTTGATTCAGAAACAGCCCTGTGCGGTAGCAGCAAGCCAATACACCTACAACCAGCCGTACACTGGCAGTGAGTTGTACGTTTGCGCCTCTTCCAGTCAGAGAATGCCAGTTTGGACGTACCTGGCATGTACCTGGGGAGGTAACATGTCGTTACCATTCACCATGTCATTCCTGTCATCCTGTCCAACCTTCTGGCCTGCAGTGCCATCAGTGTCTGTGGAGCAAAAAGGAGCAACGACAATTTCAGACAACAGTCACAACCTGTTGTCTTCTGGCAATTTTTCAATGCTTTTCATGTTTTTAAATCTGATTTCAAAGTTTAAACTTCAAAAGGATGACATTTGATGGCTATATCTGCAATGGATCAGTTGCAAAGAAAGACTAACGAACTACATGTACAAAGAGGCAGACTACACTACAGGATGCGTAGGGATTAATTCACCACCAAGATCTGAAATGGCCGCTAAATTTCTTTCCATGAAAAGACTACATGCAAAAGGTTTTTGAGACACGTAGCTCTGAGGTCAGGAACAAGACAGTATGACGATGAAACATGCCCCCTCAAGTATGGAGGACAGAAAGCCTGGACTGACCATAGTTCCACAGTCCCAGACTGCACATTCCGACGAAAACAGATTGCGTCTGCTGCAAGCCACACACAGCTAAAGAGCACATGCTATTAGTCAAACAACAAATTATTGCCATAGTCTGTGAACAGCCCACTGGTCCAAGGACATACATGCACAATGAATGGATGAAGATATCTGGTTCTTTCTGCTTTGCTGACACAACTAAAGTATAATTCATGTTAAGGTCTCGGTATGAAAATAATCCTAGAACATTGCATATGTTTTGAAGTCAAACAGTTCTCAATCCTTCCACTGCTGGAAGATCAAGGACTGTTATAGTCTATGGCTTGTTATTAGAGTCTCACATAGTACATGCGAATAAAAGCAAACGAAATCCAAAGACAATGCACATCAACTAAACATTTCAATGAATCTACTGTCTAATGAGCTCTCAAATGAAGTTAAGCAGTGCAATGTAACCACGGCAACATACCTTCTTCACCTTCGGAGTCTGCAGTGAATAAAGCATTGTGGGTAAAAATTGGAACCGGTGTGTTAGTCATGCTGGGTGGGGGGGGGTAAATGCGGGGGGGTCTCTGTCTACACATTTGCATCTTATGGTTAATCAGTGTTAAGTTTCTTAGGGCTTGATCCAAAAACTGAACATTTAACTAGTAGCCTACAAAACCTGTCTTTGCATTGGACTTATGGCTGATAAAACTCAACCGTTTTTCTTATAAACCTCTAGATTTTGAATGTATTTAAACTCATTTTTACCATTTTTCCTCTTGTAAAATTCAATTGTACATGTACTATTCCTTTTAAAAATTGCAGACATTAACAGAAACACTCAATTTCTTGGTAGTGCCGTTGGATCACTTCCCAACTTGCATGTGCCAAAAAAGGAAACGTCACAATGGAAAGAAAAACTTGATTGGAGACGGCTGTTGAATGATCCCACAAAGTGTCATCACTTACTTATCATTTAGTTACATGCATTTAACTACTGTATCTGTAACAATTTGTTATCAAAAGGACAAATAGGTACTGGAGAAGAATTTAACCACTGGAATTATAAATTCTGTCTCGTAGCATTTTTCAAAAATGAGTCCAATGTAACCACAATTTGAATTACATTAAAGAGTAAGCCAAGCCAGTGGCAGCAACTACATGTATGGTACTCTTTTAGAATGTGATACAAAATAGACAAAACCCATGGAGACACATTGCTTTATCCCAACCAAATATATTAGTGTATAACACTGGGATTGTGTTTTGTGATGGTGACAAATGGACAAATGTAACTTTGTTAAATCAAAACAGTTAGTTAGAATTTTATTTCTTGAAGTGAAAATCAATTCTGTCACTCTAGTTACTAGATTTATGCTTGATTTTTCATTTCCCAGCAATTTGATGTGACCTGAATCACGATCAGTGCAACTATCAACTGTGCTGACTGTACAGCCCACTGTGTGGGAACAAATGGTTAGTGCCATAAACTGGTGTCAGCAATGGTAAAAACCTAGAGAGGATGCACCTGTGATACTCATTTATAACGGGGAAAATTCAAAGACCACACTGCTCTAAAAGTGGCGTGGTATTCTTTGGCCTGTAGTGTGCCCCCAAATAAGCAAAAGGATTAATCAAGTTTCAGAATGAATAACAAATTAATCAAAAGAGTTAAAAAAAAGAAAAAAAACAACAACACAGAAACACAAATCCTAATCATCACAACTTCATTCCACTGCAAGTGAAACTGCACAACCGCAAGGCCAACAGTGCATCAGAGAAGCCATGTGACATCTTACCGTCACTGCCGTGCATCGGTCGACGACGTTGCCCTTTAGCCGACGTCGGACGGGGGATCCGATTGGATGACGTTCCATCCTCAGACTACAATGCACAGACAAACAAATGGTGAATTCACCTGATATTAGTGAGAGTCCGCACAAGCATTACTGCCATGATATCTGTGTCCATGAGCAAGACAGTTCTCAATGATCATTTCCCATGACACATACAAGTATGACAGACAGAGAGCACTGGATAAGAAACAGCTGAGCCTCTCACACTTCTTGGTCCACAAGAACAGCTCTATTACTCTAAAGGCAGGGGTACAAATGTTGTTTTCTTTCCACAGATCTCAGACACCAGATGAATGAAATCATGGAAACATTCAAATGCTATTAATTAAACCAAGATGTGAGTAAATGAAGATAAGACCTAATCTTGGATGTACGAGAACCAACCAAAAATTCAGACCTTGGTATGTATTGGGGATGAGTCCATTTTTCAGCATCTTTAAACACGCGATAAAACTGAAGTAGGTTTGAGGAAACAAGAAGCCTTTTGCGAGTTAAATTTGAATAAAATTTGGCTGAATACTTTAAATTCATGTGAACATAACAATTTGAATTCTCTATACTAAAGACACTGTTGCTATACCTCCTGACTCAGGGCAAGCTGTTCCTTAGTTACATAAGAGACGCCTTACACCAATGCACTGTTTTCAATGGACAAGATGGGCACAAGGGAACAAGTCCATTCCAGAGATGGTGGTCGCTATGCAAAAGCTTGCCCCGAATCACGAGGTATAGCAACAGTGTCGTTAGTCTGGGTAATTCAAATTGTTACATGTATGTTTTTGCATGATCAGACAACTCAGTGTACCAGATTTTATTCAAATTTAACTCGCAAATGGCTTATTGCCAGAATCAACAAAATGAAGCGATAAAGACAGATCTCAACGATGATACATTTAATGAAAGGAAGGCATATTAGTAATGATGTCAGATATCAGGCTACCGTACTTATAAGCAAACTAATGGCTGTCATATACACGTACATGAAAATTCTACATTGAAATTGCACCTTACAAAGTCCCCTTCCTATGCACATTTGCCAATGGATGCAAATGAAACAGCCCAGCAGATATGCATGCATTTTTAAATGATTAACTTATGAAATATGGACAACTTTAAACATTGTGTTGGCATATGATGAATGGGATCAAACAGCTAGAAAAGGCGGGTTCATCCTTGATGCCAGGCGTGGGCAAATGCAATCACTGTGGTCAGAATCATGTGCAAAACTCAACTCCATGGTACACATTTCAAGATAAAAATGTCAACAAATATCAAGTAAAACTTGCTAAATGATGAATTTGGCTACACACGAATAAAACCTGTTCTTCCTTTAAAAGACAACTCAATCAAACACTTCATATCAGAACAGGCTGATCAGGAATATTAGAATCCTATTCATGTGAAGACTTCATTTTTTCAGGAGTAAATTTGGGGTGATATTAAAAGTCATGATGAAATTGCTTGTGAATGGTGGTGACAAAGGCAGTGATGGCTGAACATGACAGCAAACTGGTGATTTCTGGTGTATTGATCACAATAGTGGTGATGTTGAATATCTTTACATGAAAATGGTAAACTATGATGACAATTGATGACAATGACAATGGTGACAATGATAAGGCTGAAACACTTCACCAGAGCCAAAAGTCTTTGACAAACTCAGCAGAGTCTCCCGTTCAATGTTGATGCTTTGATGCCGTTCCCCGTATCAACAAAGTTTCCACAATGTTTGAATTGGAACAAATGAGTGACAATTTTAGCTCGGCTCGTCTGAAAAGGGGCCAGATTATAACAGTTTTTCGGGGATACAGGCGTACACATGTGTTCATTTGCTCTTTGCTGCCATAGGCATGCAGAGCTTTGAACTGGCAGCTTGTAGAATCACGTCAGAATTGTATCAACGCAGCATTTGAAATATTGTCCCACCGCATGGCATAAGAGCTGAGGCAACACACGCAAAATTACTAGGCAACGTACATGGGAAGCACTGAACCATCTAGATCAAGGCTCCGCATGCCTATGGCGGCAGCATGAAAAGAGCGAATGACCAAAAGAGGACCCCTAATTTTTTAAGGCATCACTCTTAATCATTTATTTTAGAATAAATAAGAATTGTAGATTTGGGTATTTCCCAAGAGCGGATCATGGGGGAGCTAATAGGGGGATATGGCCCCCCCCCCAAAAAGGGCCAAATATCTTTTCTTAAATAATGACAGCGAAGGAATTTTCTTGGTCTTTTTCATTTCTTATCCTTCCAATAGCATGTGAAAAGCCCCAACATGTAGCCTCGCCCCCAAGAAAGGCCACAAAAGGTTACATGAAAAAATATAAAAATTGTTTGCTCTAACAACCAAGTTTGCCCTTAACCCCCCCCCAAATGGTTCTGGATCCGCCCTTGGGATTGTCTCCTTGTGTTTAATTTGGAAACATTCTGCCAAGTTTCTCAGAGAAGTCCCTTATCATAGCTGCAGCAGACGGCAAAATGTATCCGACTTTTATTCAGTCAAATGAAAAGAATGATGCATCATGAATTATAAACACATCAATGCTTATATACCTCAGAAGGTTCCGGCCTAGCATCCTGCAAAAAGAATAAAGTAAGGGGGACTCAAAGTTATCCAGAAACTCAGAAATTTCAAGCTGTCGTGCTGTGAGTAAGTAGTAATTCTGTATGCCTCAACTGAAAGCTACATTAGGAAGAGTGCGACGGGGTGGGGGGAACAGGTCAGTGTACATGGGGTAAGGCAATGCAGCTCCGTATGCGGACAAGATACTAAAAATAATGTTATCCACTTGTGAACGTGGCCTTTTCATTTGTGATCCGGGTTGTTGCTGCACAAATTTTAGTGCCAGCATGGTGGATGGCTAAAATAATGTAGTATAAAGATTATTGCAGTGCAACAACGATTAACATGCCCGAATGGGCCAACTGAGTAACATGCCCGAATGGGCCAACTGAGTAACATGCCCGAATGGGCCAACTGAGTACTTATATATGTACATGCAAACCCAAAAAACATGTTTTGAAGTTTTATAAAAGGAGGAAATTGAGATCGTACTATGTCAGAGAGATTCTAAGCTTTTTTTTCTTTGTCAAAATTTTGAAATTGCCATATAATGCAGCAAAAGTTGTGTCAGTCAACAACTGTTATTTTCACCCCAAGAGCTGGCCGCTGATTTGGAGTGCTGGCAAACACTACCAGTATAACCTGGTATAGCTACAACCCTGTTCATGATGAGAATCTTGAAGCTCCAGATTATCTTTACAAGTAATGCAGGATAAAATGGTATCATTGTGGATAATTCCAATTCATTGCATTCACTACCTCCAATGTTCTGTTCGTTAAATGAAAAAAAAGTCAACGGCTGTGCATTGAGATTGCACACAATTCACTGTCCTGAAGACTCAAGTGATTGACGAAAAACTAAAATGCAGCAAGTATTAGCAATTATCATCAAGTTAATTTTGGACAAGAACTTCGTTGACACATCAAACACGGTGCAATTAATGCAGAATGTGGACAGGTGCGTGCATGTCCTCATTGAAAAACAACTCAATCAGAAACAGATCTGAATACAGCTGAGTCAAAAGAACTCTGGAGTACCAACATAAACTATTGACTTTGAAATGTACATGTATTGGTTTATGTCACTGGTGAATTCAAAATTCTGGCCGAAACTGTTAGAATGATTTTCTAAAATATTTCATTGGAAAAGCCTCCTTTGCCTGTGATTCAAGTTCGTGAGCTGTAAAGTCATGTGGCTATTTGGAGTGACAAAAGAGTTAGATGAGCTGTAACAGGTGTGACATACATGAAGGGGCAGCACCCCTTTGGTGGGGACACGTGTGCAAAGGTGCAGGCACGCTTGGTGTGAGACATGCTGCGATTATGAGAATGTGCCACCAATCTCTGTTGGAATGTTTCTCTTTGTGTGTTGGGCATTGAGTGGAAAGATTTCCAACAGCTTCTCTCTTCTTTGCCAGTGAGGGAATACTTTTAGACAGAGCAGAAACACCAGTCCAAGCACAAGATTACTTTAACAGCTCCAGAAAGTATTTTGTATCAATGTCTTCAAAGCTAATCGTCATTTTGACCAGCATCACAACACAGCGCTTCGGCCATACTTGGGGTCTTCTGGACTGCGGCACTCAATCTGTGCCCATATGCGACCCCCTCAGCAAAAAGGAGTCTTAAGTTGCCAGAGTCACTTTGGAGTAAAAAGTCCTTTAGAATAATTTTGCACAATGTAAATCAATAGGAACCCACTGCATTTTTAACCACGGAGTATCCACTTTCGTCAGGATGCCAAACTGAGTGATACATCAAAACAAAAGCTTCATTTGCTCTTTCGAATACAAATGAAAACTACAAAAGTGGCTCTGGCAACTTAAGACTCCTTTTTGCAGAGTGGGCCACCTATTGGTAAGTTCAGGGATGTGCCAACCTGTAGTCTTTGTAAAGAACGAAATACATGTAGCTCTGTTAATCTAATCATGCAGAGCGAGTAAACATTGTGTGGCCTAAGCTGGCTCCACACAAGGGCCGTGTCCGAAACGGGCTTCCAGAGCTACGGCTAGGTCTATTGTGTACGCGTCTCCACGCATTTCCAATGGAGCAAAGACCTAGACCTAGCTCTAGACAACAGATTCGGATGCAGCCTAGGTTTCATTGCCGAGCTAGGAGTATCTGCTGGAAAATAATGAGGAGTGGTCAAGGAAACTATTGACGAAAGTCCAGCTCAAAAGCATCTGCAGTGCAAATAAGAATTCTTGAAAGTTTCCTCAAGTCCAAAAAAACCAAATGAATATCCACAACACACAAGGCAAGCATTGGAATTCCATACTTTTGTATGTTAGTTTTTGTGGTTTTAAATTTTTAGCGGAGCTGACAAATATATTCAGCAACGAAAATGATATTAGTAAGCAAACTATCGGTAAATTTTTGTATAACAAAGTACATGTACATAATTGAATGGATGATTGCTTTTGGCACACCGAGGTGGGATTGGAATAAATGTTTTCAGCTTTCACGACAAAACTGCGAGGCAGCTAAGATGCAGAGCTTGAAAATGTACAGGTACACATACTGTAAATACATGTGTGCTGCTGTTTGAGACTGCTCTATCAATAAGAAGTGGACATTACCATTGCCATGGTTTTATATGTGTATATCAGGCTTGAATTTCATGGAGATGATAAACTCAGAAATTTGCAAAGCAAATAAGTAATGTACCTCTGTGTAAAAAGAAGTTTAAGTCTGTGCAAAAAGTAATGTAATTCCATGTAAAAAGTAGTGTAATTTTATGTAACAATTAGTGTAATTCTGCGTAAACAGAAATACAATTTGATATAAACAGCAATGTAATTCTATGTTAAAAGAAGTGTAATTCTATGTAAAAAGTAGTGTTATTACATAGAAACGGTAGTATAATTCCAAAACTGTAGTGTACATGTACTTCTTTGTAATAACCAGTATAATTCTTTGTGAAACAGGTTACAAAATGGAATGTCACATAATGACATCTTGTAATGACTGGTTCTTTGCTAGTTTTTCTAAGCAAGACATACTTCTGACGGGAACATGCGAAACAAAGAAACAGAATTAATTTGTTTCTTTTCGGAACGACAGAATTTACATTTTGATCCACGTGATCATGTCCAACAACATACAATCATCATCATCATCATCGTCGTTATCGTCATCATCGTCATCACCACCATCACCATCATCATCAGGCTTCAAGCATAATTCCCATCACGAACCTCTTAAAACTCCTTAAGTCCTTTCTCCAGTCCAGTCTCAAATCCCTTCTCAAGTCCAACCTTAAGTCTAGTCTCTCAGGTCTCTTCTCAAGCAAAGTCTCAAGCCCCTCTCAAGACAAGTCTCATATCTAGTCTCAAGTCCCTTGGCAAGTGCAGTCTCAAGTCCCTTGGCAAGTGCAGTCTCAAGTCCCTTGGCAAGTGCAGTCTCAAGTCCCTTGGCAAGTGCAGTCTCAAGTCCCTTGGCAAGTGCAGTCTCAAGTCCCTTGGCAAGTCCAGTCTCAAGTCCCTTGGCAAGTGCAGTCTCAAGTCTCTTGGCAAGTCCAGTCTCAAGTCCCTTGGCAAGTCCAGTCTCAAGTCCCTTGGCAAGTGCAGTCTCAAGTCCCTTGGCAAGTCCAGTCTCAAGTCCCTTGGCAAGTCCAGTCTCAAGTCCCTTGGCAAGTCCAGTCTCAGGTCCCCTCTCTAGTCAAGTCTAAAGTCAGTCTGCACCACAGGCATTTTTCTTGCACTGTTTATTTCCTGTTGCCTATGAATGAAGTTGCAGTTTGACTTGTCATGTCAACTGTCTTTCAAGATGTGATCGTCTTGCCAAATAATGTGATTTTTTTTTCAATGCTGCATACATGTTCAAAGTGACTTCACACCAAGTTTTCAAATTCTATTACTGGATGACTTTTGAAGTATAAACCTTTTTGGAAAAATCATGCTCCATGTAATGCACAAATATGTATATACTGTTGAACTGATTCAGTATAGAGGCTTTACATGGTAGCCATCTTGCAGGGCCATTCTTTTGTTCCACAGGGAAACCTCCTCGGTGCATAACCCTGTTGAACAAAAGCATTGGCCTGCAAAATGGCAGCCATGTAAAACCCTTATGCTAGTACATGTACATGATTTTGCAGGGTTCATCTGAGCGGAGATGTGTCTTGACTGCTGAATTACAGTGAGTTGATAAAACTGAATTGGTGGTACACTGAGTGACAGAAACTGTTGCTTTTTGGGGCCACAGCATAACCAAGAGGCAACATGGGACAACTTGAAAAATTGGACAGGACGAAGCAAACAATTACCAATATCTTCCACTAAAGAATTCTGCCCCCAAATCTTATGCATGGCATTTCAATTTCTCTCATGATGCCCCTTTGTGCAAGCTTTGAAAATCTCCAGTGCTTTATTTTATTTTGCATCAGTGGGCCACACAGCACAAAATAGTGTCAAATGCTGCATACCTCTGCTGTGTCGTCACTCTGACCGATTCATCGGCAAGAAAAGGGGAGACGAAAAAACATAGGTAACGGGTGTGCTGATTAGTAGAGAACTGCCAATTCATGCAAGGCAAAATATTTTGATCAGTAGGGAAAAAAAAACCACAACTGAGCAGTGATCATGAAAGTGCCTTGATGCTTGGCCTTGGCCTTATGGCCCAATATCTGGGCCTTGGTTTTGATAAAAACTAGGGGGCAGCAGCCCTGCCCTTAACCTTCTTCTTGGATGACAGAGACTTTGCTCCAGCACCGCAATCAAGATCTGAGGACATGTACACTGCAATTGATAAGCACAACTGTAACCACCCAACTATCCACAACTGTAGGCTGAAAAATGAATGGTGTCATACGTCTGATAATTTACTGTTATTTCAAAACTTTGGTATACGTGAGCTGATCATCACCATTTTGAATTTACAGTGCTGGTGAAGAAGCAATGCTACAGAGTACCAAAGTGAAGACGTCATGCTCACAATTATCTGTGTAAAAGGCATTAGTGAGAGAACTAGCGCATGAACCAAGACACGCGCACTCCATTCGTTTACACTGTGCTTCCTGGTTCAAACTGACGTAAATCACATTTTGGTACCCTATAACCCTGTTGGCAAAGAGTGCTTAGTTACAGCATGCACGCACGCAGGAATTCCTTGCAAAGCTTCTGTTGTGAAACTTGGCATCTTGAAAGGCTGCTCCAAGATTGGAGGATACAGTGCCTAGCTTAGCCCCACTCTGGAGCCGCAATCAACCACACAGTGTCCTAATGGGGACTGAACTTGACCCTCACATTTGAGCACACTATCACTTTTTGGCAAAGCTTCTCTCAAAAGCACTCTTCAATGACAACAGCCCACAGCCACACGAACTCAGTGACTTCCTCTTAATGGCTGTACAGGTAACACAGAGAGAGTTGTGATGTGAGGTCCATGAACGACGTCATGTTGTTTTCAAAATCGTGCATTGTTATGTGTGGGATTGCGGACAGAGGACAGATCAAAGTTGGACAGCTGATTGTTTCCTGCATAAAAAGACATTGAAATTGCCAACGCGGGTGTTTGTCGTGCCAGAGTTTGGAACCAAAATGCCTTCTAATCTGAACCTGTCACAACTCTCTGTGTGCAGTATACAGGTTTGTGACAACTGTTCCTAAAAATGGGCTAAAATAGGCAAATTTGATGTTTGACAACTCCTCTCCCCCATGTTGTTATCATTTCCCAGATAATAGCTTAAAAGCTTCGGCCTGGTTTTGAATGGTGGGTCACTTGTGGTTCTGCACACTGCTAGACAACAGTGCTCTCTTAATACAATGACGCAGAGTCAAGTGACCGTTGGACAACATGATCTTTACCTCTTCATCTTCCTGTAGGCCATTCTGCTGCTGCTGACGAGCTCGGTCTTCTTCCTCTTTACGTTTCTGAAAAAAGGAAAGTGGTACAAGTAGTTTCGATGAAGACACCTCAGTGACTAACAAAACCACACGGTACTTGTACATGGGATGACTGTTGCTCAGGCAGGGCCGCATGAAAGACTTCTGGCCGCTGTGAAGTTAAAAGGAAAGCTAGAGTGGTATGGCCATTACGAGAACATGTGGCCTGGTGAAAAAAAAGCGCTCTCTAGGGAACATTGATGGGGCAAGGAGAGTATGGAGGCAGAAGAAGTGGGCATACAACATCCAAGAATGAACTCTGCCCGGTCACAAGCTGTAGCCAGAGAGTGCCAGAGAGGAAGTCAGCTTACTAGGACTGCATCAACCGTGCAATCCCCCTGATGACCATTTTGTCATTATGGGACGGTGGAGAAGAAAAACAGATAGCCCATACTCTAAAAGCTTAAATTGCAGAAACAGAGCTCAGTCATCACTCAACTACATTTCGTAGAATCCACCAAACACGTCACAGTCAGCTTTGTAACTTGCTCCCTCAGAGCCACAAAAACTCACCCTTCACAAACTGGTAAAACGAAGGTACCTCAATGAGTAAAATACTGGTGCCAAAATACTCACAGCAGAAACCCAAACTCAAAATTCAAAGTAAGAAGGAAAAAACTAAACACATGAAAATGCATTCAATTCAATGATTCTGTGCTATCCTACAAGTGGACATTTGCACAATGAATACAACTGAATTTTGTTTAAAATTTCCAAATGTTTCTCAATGATTGGCAAGTCACTAAGTTATACGTATAATTGGTAATACACGAACCTGGTCTCATAATTTTTGACCTGTTCCTAGCATCAACAGTTTGGCACTCGTATCTACATGTAGTTCTAATATACAACTCTAATCAAACTCCCATTTACATGTATTCTCACAGTTTATAGTGCCTTCAAATGCCTCTTTGAAGGAAAATACAAGTGTTACCATAAACTATAAACTGATCTGCTTTCAAGACCTGAGACACGCGACTGTTGTTGGTACACTGGAAAAGAATCGTTACAGACTAATCCAAGGAGATGTTATTTCTTCAGCGGTGCTGCATTTATATTTGTTAAGATTTCAGATGTTCATGTAGGCATATTACAGCAAGCTGCGACATCCTATTGGTTGAAAAGGCAGGTAATGTGTGCATAAATGCACCACCTTTGTGCAAGCGTGGTACCCCAGCAGTAGTGGCTTTTAATTCTCTCTGTCAGGTCATTTTTTGGTTAGCACCGTGTTACTGCGCTTGCCAAATTTAGGCTTACCCTGCAGTGCAATGATTCTATGCTCGGATGTTGTCATTCTGTAGGTCATAAATACTAAGGTATCACCGTATTAACCATCTTATGCTGAAGTCACTCTTTGGGTCATTAAGGTAAACACCTCAAAGAAACACAGCTGTGTTGTGTTGTGCACTGCACCAACAGACCCTCACAGGGATATCAGATTGCACTTTTGTGCTGTCCAACAACTGTGCTTCACTGTTTCATGGGCATAATTGTGCAGTAAACCAA